TAATATAATATTTGTAATTTAGAAGAATATTTCTTGTTACTTTTCTTTATTTATGCAAGATTTTTGTAGTTTTAAAAATTTATAATGTTTTGCTGAGTGACATTACTGATAGTGAAATTTAGATTATTGTTTTTGTGAACAATATTTTCAACGCCTAATCCAGTTAGAATCTTCATATTCAAACTCACTGGTTCAGAAGACCCAAAAATTCTAAGTTCGATTTCCAGAGGGATAGTAGGTGCTCGCTGTTGTATGAACTCATATTACAGCAAGAAACAATTCATGTTGAAAACCAACTTTTAATATCATATTTTAAATTCTGTAGGTAAATAACTATGGTATGTGAATAAAAAAATTAAACGGAATAAACCCATAGAATCATAAAATAATATTGATGATAAAATTGTTCACCTTTTAAACATTTCAACTTTACTTCAAAAATAACACATATACAATTTTAATAGTTGAATTTATAAGTCCATGTAAGCTAAACTACCATTGAAAACATGGAACCAGTGGACGGATGTTTTGCCCCAGTATGAAACTACTCAGAGGTGCTCCTCTACGACACCACATACGGGACTCAAACGCAAGACCTTTGGTTTCGTGCGCTAACGCTTAACCTCTAGACCACTGAGCCGGCACTCAATGTACACAATTATTATTTTATCGATTTCACTGAAAACTTTCATTTGAATTAATTGTTTCTATGTTTGTTTTTCTTTTTTTCTCATTCTATACAAAAATAAAATGAACATTCAGCAAATAGAGTATAATATACCAAAGGATCAGTTAGTTTTTCTTCAAATGTCAAGTGAAGTAGCGATACAACGATTAAAAGTGAATTGTCGAAATATACAAAATATATTGGAAATTATATCTTTGTTAAGTGACAGTAATGTGTTGATTGAATTCAATGAAACTATACAATTATTTTCTATTGAAATAGAAGAAAATACATGTGGGGTAAGTTTTATTATATTTTATACATTATTTTGATAATATTAACGCGTAATGTTTATGAGTATCAGAATAGGGTTTTGTGAATATTATAGTAACTTAATAATTGAATTCATGATTTGATTTAAAACAAATCACCATGGAAAACCTGAAAGCACTGGACAGCCATTTCTTCCCAGTACTAGACTCCTCAACAATTTCGTATACAGGATAGAGGATGCGTACTACTGAGAAGTTCCATACTAGGACGAAACAGCCATTCAGGGCTTCCAGGTTTTCCATGGTGGTCTAGCTTCAATTGACTCATGAACTCAACTATTAAATTTATTAGTATATCTGAAGAGTAAATATTTATATCTTTATATGCATAAATGACTAATTGATAAATTGGAATGTGGTATGTTTACATTTTTTTGGTGAAATTGATGGATGAACTAAGAATGTGAATAAATTTTGTTCTGAAGAAAAAAATAAGATTGCGAGCACGGATGACTGTATTCACTGTTCACTGAAATGATTATACTAATTAATGTTACTAAATAGTTCTTTCGAATGTTATTAAGTTAAATACCATCATGAACTAAAAGAAGTGAGGATACATGATATTATTAATATTATTATCGAGTGGTGTGATTTGATTTTCATGATTAGTGTTGTTAAATCTATAAGCTTTAATTTTACTTCTTTCATTACTTGTGAAATATAATTAAAATGAATTATACATATGTATCGGATAATTATACAGTTTCAGTAGTTGGAATCATGAGTCAACTGAAGCTAGATCACCATGGAAAACCAGGAAGCACTAGACGGCCGTTTCGTTGTAGTATGGGACTTCTCAGCAGTGCGCAATCACATTGAATTGGTTGTAGTTAGACATTAACACCGTTGGGTGCCGGCCCAGTAGTCTAGCGGTTAAACGCTCGCGCGCGAGACTGATAGGCCCTTGGTTCGAATCTCGCGAGGTGCGAAACCGTGGATGCGCAGCGCTGAGGAGTCCCAGACTAGGAGGAAACGGCTGTTCAGTGCTTCCAGGTTTTCCATGGTGGTCTAGCTTCAATTGACTCATGATTTCAACTATTGAAATTACTAAGATCTCCACAAAAACCCCTCTGATAGTTATACAGTTATTTTATTCATTAAATAATAAATCAGAGATCAGTGTTAATTTTCTATTATGATCCCTGATTCTGAAATCCAAACTAATTATTATTTAAGGAGATTTTAAGCTGAAATTTGTCGGCAATATTTTATACAGTATTCAGTTTCCTACATTTATAATATTGTCTAAGTGATATTTTTGCTGATTCAAAAGTTTTGTAAAGATTAGTTTAAAGGATTTATGTCATAGAATGACATTAATTGAGGTACCGTTGAAAACTGGTAAGCACTGGACTAGTGGTTCTTTCTAATCTAAATGATATCCCAACATTTATCTATCATTAATAATTACTAATTCACTTTCAATTTGATTAGTTTCAAAGGTCATTGCTACTAATTAGAATTTTCACAAATCTTTATCAAAGCTAATCACTAGTGTGTACAAAATCCAGACAGTCAGTCAGTTACAACGTAGGACCAGGCACATATGTGCATCGGTCCAAGTTGTCATACCTCACTAGTACAATAAGATGAACACCAAATTCATAGAAGTAGTTAATTCAGTGGTGGTAATATATAAAAGAAAAATTGCTTATAAGGACATAGTACAGGAAGAAAGAATTAGTTCGTGGAAAGAAAGATATGAAACGATTTTAATCTCATAGTTTAAGGGAAGACAGAGAGTGTATACACCGATGCCATTGTGATCGATTCTGAGACATGTCACCCATAGTATCCAACTATTAGTTACGATAGTCGCGCGGACCCCAACCAAGTAGTCTGCATCTACCAACATGGCTAAGACTAGAAGTTAATGATTTCAAGCACTGATGCTACGTTTTGGTTTGGTCACCCCTAACTTCCTTCCAACTATCCCCAATACTAATCAGCATTGCGCATCATGGTAATCGGTGTTCATAATAATTATTATCTAATACTATTTGATTTTAATAGTTCATAGTGAAAATAATTTTTCTATGGTGTTAGTTGTAATCTATGAAATAAAATCTTATGCTTAGTTATTGATAAATCATGTGAATTGACAGATTTTTCTAGATAAAAGTAACTATGTGCATAGAGTAAAACTATTAAAAAAAGGAAAAAAAGGTAAACTTATCAATCAGTTCAATAAAGATAATAAGTATATACTCAACTAAATTGTTAAGAAAAATTGTCAGGTAGAACCGGAATTAAAATGATCATTTTGATTATTGATTTAAAATTAATCAATATAATATACTCAAATAAATAAATATTACACCGTTACAAATAACATAGGTGTTAAGTCCCGAAATTTGTGTTCTGGACTTAATTGTCTGGGCTAGGCGGGAAGCAGGACCAATCAGGACTCTGGGCTGCTCGCACGTGTTTTACGCGTCCTTGACCCGATCGATAATTCACTGCTCTCTGATTGGCGGTATTATTACGTTATCCATTAACAGGGTACTCAGGCCACAAGTTATAAGAAGAGAATAGTGATGCAAGGATTATATAAGCAGTAGTCCTTTAATCAATTATTTTTTATAAGATACTTATTATCACATACATATTGATTTGCGAAAAAATATAAACGTATGTATATTAGCTTTATTAATACAAATAAATTTATTTATTAAAAATTGGTGGTCACTGACGCCTAGAAATAGATAGTTAATTAGAAAAATTTCTAAACAATGATTTTAACTTGTCAATAATTACTTAATTCTTATAAGTGGTTTTAATAGTTGAGATCATGAGTCAATTGAAGCTAGACCACCATGGAGAACATGGAAGCACTGGATGGCCGTCTCGTCCTATTGTGGGACGACTCAGCAGTGCGCATCTACGATCCCGCCTTGCGGGATTTGAACCCAGGTTACATCGGTCTCGTGAGCGAGCGCTTAACCGCTAGACCACTAAGCCAAAATCCAACAGTGTTAATGTCTGACTTCATGTAATCCACGAAATCGAGTGTCATATCGATCATTGCCATCAGTGAGTTACTATCTCACAACAGACCCGGTTGAACTCTACTGCTCACTGCTTCTCACTAAAACTCCAGGATATACATCTTGAAACCAGTCACTAGTGAGCATATGTTGATTAGTATCCGAAGGGTTTTTGTGGAGATTGTAGTAATTTCAATAGTTGAAATCATGAGTCAATCGAAGCTAGACCACCATGGAAAACTTGGAAGCACTGGATGACCATTTCATTTTAGTGTGGGACTCCTTATAAGTAATTTAGAATAACGTATTAGTTATTAAACAGTATTGTTTTGCTCATTATTAAGTGATATATTTCAATGTAATTAGTATCACTACGGAACAATAATTATTTCTATCCTATATGGTATATATTTTATGCAATTCGTACTTTGATCATTTCTTTGTATACGATTTATTACACTTGTTGTATACATATTGTTTAATAATGCCGTTTGTGCTTAATTAGTAACTTTAATGATCTGAAAACTTATTTATTTAGAGCTTAAGTATTACTTAAATAACGAGCTGCCATCGTTTGATGATTCATTGACAACCTAAAAGAACTGAATAATTATTTCATCTTGTTTTGAGATTTTTCCATAGTAAATACCCGCAACACATCACTTACTCAAAAACAGAAATTTCGGGTTTCGTAATATATCACGAATAGCATCTAATGTGATCAATAAATGAATGCCTCAGTTTCAATTTGATCGACTGGTTGAATGAATTGTATCTCACTCAATAAGAGAACTGAAGTTCTGAAGGGAACCTCAACTGAAACTGTTGGGTAGTCCCAGATGAGAACTATGTTTAAATTAAATAAACATCTATACACCACGTAAGAAAATAACTAAAGTTACTTGTAGCTATTAATACTACTTTAGATCCCCAACAATGTACTTACTAATTATTTTAAACTGTTACAAATTTTACTTAGTTGTTTACAGACAACATAGTATAAACATAAATAAACGAATTTATAAATATAATCATCAAATAGGAACTCTATGAACTCGAGTAAAATTTTTTAAGAGTAGGTAATTTCTAGTTGGAATTGGCATTATTAGTAAAATTAATACGACACTAATGACAAGTATGAAATCAAATGTTTACAAGAATTAAATACTATTAAAATTAAAGAAAATATTGCTAAAGGTAGATATACACTTTAGCTAAATATTTCGTACATTACTGTTAAGTTAATCAATGTATAAAATTAAGTTTTTAATTTGTAAATTTTCACTGATGCTGACGCTTAGATCAATGGTTCAAGGACTGGCCATGAAAACTCAAAGTTAGGTAGGAAATTAAAAAAAATCAAATGAAATATTTTTCAATCATGGATTGTAAATATTGATCATTATTATTGATAAGCTTCCATAAGATTTTCGATCTTGATCTTATTTCTCTAATTTGATTAGAAATTCTCTCTGAACATTGATCATCGGTGGTTTTCTGATTCATTAAGACAAATTCTACTTTTTTACGCTGTGATACACTAAGGTATGTTTAAAAAAAACATTGTATTCAACCAGAGAAATGAGAGAAATAATTGGTAATTTTACAAGTTAGTTGAGTTCAAGTAATAAGGTTTTAAACTGCAGTGTGAGCAAGGTACATGTATGAAATAATGTTAGTATATTAGATTGATTTTTCCTGTTTGTTTGGTTGAGTCTGTGTATTTGAAATTATCCATGCACAGTTTTAAAGATAAAATTTAAATTCACTTTGAGTTTTTTTGATTGAAAAAAGTTGTTATAAGTGTACAAAAATGATGTTATTACACTTGTATACTGTTTTCAAGATTAAACGATATGAAAGATTGTAGATAACTGTTCATTTTGATGCTATCACAAAGTAGATACTTTTAGGTACAAAACGAAAAGTTTAAAGAGAATATGTAAAATAATCGATTACCTCTAGATGTGGTGTGACTGAATTTAAATAAGTAGATAATATTTTAAGGTATTTAAACTATGACATTACACAACCAAATTTCACTCTACCAATGAGTTATAAGTACAACATTGGATGTATAATTAACTGTTACTTATAAGACTGTGTTAGAGCTTGCCTTGTGATACATTCTGATGATTTCGGCAACATATGTCCTATTCACCTCAAACGTATTTCCCTGATACACTCTTCCTCTGTAAGCAGGTTTGTTCTCTCCTACAGTAGGTCGTTGCTAATGGCATCCAGTCAATGGACATTCACTATCTTGTGCAGACAATTGTTTAGAAACACTTGTACTTTATAGACGATGTTTGTGGTAGTTCTCCAAATTTCAGCTCCGTACATTAGAATTGTCTTGACGTTTGTACTGAAGATTCTGACTTTGATGATGGCCGGCAGTAGTTTTGAGTTTCATATGTTATTCAACTATAGGAATGCTGTCCTTACTTTTCCAATCCTTTCCTTCACATCTGTATCAGATCCTCTACGTCCATCGATGATGCTACCAAGATAAGTGAAACTTTCGACCTCTTCCTGAGTTTCCCCACCAAGTGTGATTGGGTTGGTGCTCTCGGTATTGTATTTGAGGATCTTACTTTTTTCCGTTGTGTATGTTGAGGCCTACTGATGCAGAGTTTACTGCTACACTGTTTGTCTTCACCTGTATTTGTTGGTGTGTATGGGATAGAAGAGCCAAATCACCTGTGAAGTCCAAATCGTTTAGTTACATCCAACCTGTCCATTGTATTCCGTGCTTCCCCTCAGATGTCGAAGTCTTCATAATCCAGTCAATTACCAGAAGAAGGAGGAAAGGAGAGAGTAAGCATCCTTGTCTCACACCGGTCCTCACTTGGAATGTATCTATCAACTGTCCTCAATGCACCATTTTGTATTGTGGTCCGTTGTATGAATTCTGTAGTGTCGAGATTTGATCCTTACCGAATCCAGTCTGTTGATTCCGAAGCTAGGTATCTGCTGAATCTTTCATCCAGAAAAACAAAACAACGTTGCAAGCATCTCCGTGTATTGATAGTAGCGTGATGCCTCTGTAGTTCTTAGACTTGCTCATATTTCATTTCTTTGGTATCTTGGCGAGTTATCATTCTTTCCAGTCTGTCAGTGGCACTTATTTTTGCTAACAAATCTTCCTAATTAGAATATGGAGCACATTTGTAGTTAATTATTTGTCTTTTATTAGCGCATCAGCTGCTATGTTGTCTGATCGTGTCGCTTTCCTACTATTGATTTGTCTGATGGCCACCTTATTTCTTCAATCGTTGGTGAAGTGACAACCATAGGAATATCTGTTTGTACTGTTTCAACGTCCTATGGGTTCGGAGGGCTGGTCTATATAAGAGCTCCAAAATGCCCTATCCACCTATTTCGCTGCTTTTGAATCTCAGTGATTGGTTTCCCTTCCTTGTTCCTGACTGATCTCTCTAGTTTACCATATTTCCCTACTAGCTTCTTTGTTATGTTACATGGTTGTCTTATGTTCCCTTCTCTTTCAGCTTTTCCCACTGTCATTGTCGGGTCTTCCACGTATTGCCACTTGTCGGCTCTAATGTTCCTCTTCACTCGTTTGTTTGCTTCTGTGCATTCAGTTTATGTTTTGACTTGCTGTGCTCTTGTTCGACTGTTGTTAATTGCTGTCTTCTTGTTCTTCCTTTCTCCAATCCTGTCCAGAGTATCGGTATAGATGCATTCCTTATGATGATGCTTCTTGAGACCCAGCAATTCCTGACACGTTGAAGTTAGTGCTTGTTTAATCTCTTTCCAGTTGATCAACTTGAGTGGTTTCCTCTTTCTTGAGTAGATTTTGTAAGGCTTGGAATTTGTCAGTGAGAACTATTTTAAATTCGTTGAGTCTGTTAGTACTCCTGAAATGGAATACTGTTTCTTTTTTTAATTTAATAGTACCCTACACCTCTCTCTAAAGAGTACTTATCTATGTTCGTTTTTTAACACATAATGACATGATAACTACTTTCTTTAGGCTTTTTATTTCTTCAATTTATGTATAATCTTGCAAAAAAACTTGAATTATTGATTTTCCTTATTAGCAAAAACAAAGTGGAAGTCTTCTGCTTACTGTACGTACAAAACAACCATCTTTATTGCCAATCCGAGATATTCGAATAACAACTAATGGATTATATGATTCTGAATTATCTTTAGAAGTTGGTACAATTTGTTATGGTGGTATGGATCCTGAACAATTCAATATAACAGATATTGACAATAATACTAATAATAGTAATAAAGAAGATTCAAATCACAATATTTATGATAATATTGAGCATAAATCTAATTTTCAAGTGAAAAAATTCAATTTCAACGAAATGAATAATAATAATATTAAACTTGTATCTGAACCATTTTAATTTAACACTTACTATGATTATTATTAATATTAGGGAAGAAGGAGGTGGTGGTGGAAGATTTATATAGTTTTAAATTAATATAATGATGAAGCAACAATTACCAAGACAATATAATCAATGTTTTATCTTTAATCAAGAAATATTTGTAAATCTATTTCAAAAATAAAAATGCAATAAGAATATGAAAAAAAATACAAAAAAAATATATTTTATACATGAATTTTATTGGATTTCATTTCATTTCATTTTCTTTTATTGGAAGAAAGAGTAGGTTTTCATTGTGTTCCAAATTAGTTTTCATTATCTTCTATATTTAATCTCTAGTATTATAGACATTCTTCTGATATTAAAGAATGAATATTGTATGTTATTGAATGTCTGATAGAATATTTGAAACCATAATCAGTTAATCAATATTTCTAACTGATAAATTAATCAATATACTTTGAATAGTTTTCAGTAAATTAATTTTTATCACTTCATTTGCCAATTGGAAAACTTCCTCATTTTTTTATGATGATGATGATGATGATTGTTGTTTGGCTTTGATGTTTGTGTATATGTTTGAAATAATCAATGGTTTGAATGACAATTTTTTATAATAAATTGATATAATTAGGATATCAAATGGAAACAGTATATAAACTTAATCATCTACTGCGAGTTATAGTGAGTAGATTGAGTGACAGATATGATCAGAGTAGAACCTGGCATAAATTTACATTGAGCCAACTTAACATACAAAAATCTAAATGAAATTGACAAGCTGAATAAGAAGTCAAGGTAACAGTAGTATCAGAAAGATTACGCAAAGAAATTACGATTCGAAAAGGATGAGTGAATTTGAAAAATAAAAGCTATGGATTTATACATCAAAAACTAATTACGAAAAGGTTGTATACAACTAACCTCAGGTAGTTGTCCCATGAGCTTTATAGTTACGTTCTTGGGTAAACAAAACCCTCATTAATTTAGTTTTCTTTTCATGATTATTAGGAACAAACGTCCCTCCGTAAAATAACTAAAAAGCGTCAAACTCCAGTACATCCCCCAACATACAAGTTCTCTGTACTCATGTAATATTGTCAACGCATATTTATGTCTTACATCGTTATTGACTGATGATTTGTAGATAGATATGAGTGTTAGTAACGAAAGAAATTTGACTTAACAGCTAAGTTGATTTCTTGAAGTGAGTAGATTAGACTAAAAAAGACAACAATAATTAGAGTGATATTCGGTAGATTATTATTCAAGTGTCATTCGCAATGGTATCCAAACCAAAAATAGTCTCAACAGATATACAACATTAATTCATCAGATAATAACGCGATCGTTAGTGTATGGTTACTTGAGATGTAACACACTTCATTACGTGTTTATCGACTGAGTAAACTAAATGATAGCTGGTATCGGAGTGGATTGGGATGAAATCAGGAGAGATAATACCAGAAAATAGAATCAGTCCATAAAGGCACTATTTGACTGAGCCATGTAGATAGGTATAAACTACCTGCTTAGAGTTTGAGTGATTATCTTTATCAATGATTAGAGGCTTTGTATGACTCGCCTCAGAATCATTACCAATGGAGCAGGTGCATTTACTCTTTAGTTTTCCTTAGATTTTAAATTTCTTTATCCTACGTATTTATATTTTCTTGAGTCGAATTCTCAATGATAAATTTTTCTATCATCACTAATACCGTAACTATACCTGCTACACTGGGATTTTCCTCAACATTCTCATCTCGCTATGCGAACGGAGTATGGAAGCTTGAACCGACGTGCACATGTGCCAGGTTATACGTTGTGTAAAACTGACTCATAATTTAGTGTCACTACCTCGTAAAACTCAATTCAATGGATGTCATATCTCGCAGATACAGCTACAGTGGTTTCCACATAGTACATTACTAGATTTCACTAGGGGCGGGTAGAAACAATAGAAATAGTCGGTTTGGTATGGCACGTTGAAATTAATGGTAGTGTTGGATCACTACCTGTCGCTGTCATAACACCGTAGGTGGGGCCCTAAAGATCCAATAACCCAATGGATCCAAGCATCATCACATACGCAATAGCGTTTGAAGCGAACGATGCTAGGTTCGAGTCCCAGAGTGAACATCAACTATGAGATGCAGGCACATCCAGCTGACGAGTCCCAAATAGGACGAAACGCGCGTCCTGGATTCCAATACTAGCCACTATCCATCTTTGATAGTAATCTCATGTTTTATTAATAAGATTATTTTCCCGTTTTATTCTCCACAAGATAGTAAGTCATCCCTACAAGTGAATGACAATCAAGTTTCCTTTCTGTTATGCAGCAATACAGCAATAAATGGATAGCCCTATTTTTAATAACTGATATGTCATTTTCTTCTTTTGAGGTGATATCGATTTACATGTTCTAGTCTTTAATTCCCAAACGGGTTTTTTGAACTATTAAGCCAAATACCTTTAACTGAAATTGTAATCAATACACGAAAAAGTTCCATTCAGTTTAATATTGGAACGTTTCGGATGGCACTGAATACAAATAACTAGATGACGCAAAATATAGGTTGGTAGTATTGTTCTACTAAGTTAAAACAACGGGGAAACTCTTATGAACGTATTGGTTTGAAGTTTACCTACACAAAAATTATTTCGATTAACAGAAAATGTACAAAATATTTCACATTAAAATCATTTGTAAGCCACTGAACAATTTTTGCTGAAATTGAATATATATAAACTGACTTCTAAGCTGAACTTCCCTTATCTGAAGATAGCTTTCAACAGGATATTGCATCTAGAAAGCTAACATACTGAACTTGCAATAACTGTTACTTGGGTGACTACCCATAGCAGTGAAAAGGGATCGATATCGGACATGTACCAACATGACGAAATATGGTTCCTACTACTTGCTTCTGGAATAGCCATTTGGATAGATAACTAATTTAATAAAGATAATTCAGAAACTAAGGGCTAGCACTAACTTCCGGTGCAGTCATCACCGATGTGCCACCTGGCGTCCTCCCTCTGCATCTCACTCCTGGACTCAGATTGATCATATCGCGACCAGTTACCGCTGGCGTGGTTGTGTAAAAGACTGCTGCTCCTTTTGGAGTACTTATCTGGACTCTGATCATGCTCTGGTCTGCACCAATCTTACCTTACTTTTCAGTGGCCAACGAATTAATCGTCATAAACGGATTGATGCCAGTAAATTGGTTGCAGCTTCTGATGTAACTAAATATCAAAGTGAGCTAGCTTCTAGGCTAGCTACCATCCCACCAAAATGTGTAGATGAGCACTAGTTGCAACTGCATGACGCCATGAAAATGGCGAGTAAGGCCGCTTGCGGCTTCGCGAAAAGTCCCGCTTATAAGCACTGGGTTTCCGCAGGCTCCTTACAATTCATCGGAGCCCGTCGGTCTACTATGGGTGACCGTGAGTTTGACCACAAACGAAGGCTGTTACGCAATGAAATTGGGCAAAGCTGAGGACTGAAAAGCCTGGTGGTTGGAGAACGCTAATGAGCTGAAAGTGGCAGCTGCATCTGGTAACTACCGGAAGCTCTTTCAACTCATCCGAGCCACTGGCAGCAAGAAGTCTGGTGTGAGCGAAACAATCTGTGAAGATGACGGGATGCCAATCACTAACATCCATCGACGTCTTGGACGATGGGCAGAATTCTTCAAAGGGCAGTTCAACTGGTCTGCTGCTCCGGCAACATCGATCAGACTGTCCTGCCCTCCATGGCTGGTGACGATTGATCCACCGAATGAGGCGGAAGTTCGCAAGTAACTCTAACTCTTAAAGCGCTACAAATCACCAGGCCCAGATGACTTTCCTCCAGCTCTTTTTAAAGATGGTGGTGACTTTCTGGTTAAGGAACTGACAACGTTGTTTACAAAGGTCTGGGAGCTGGAGAGTGTTCCAACATCATGGAACGAGCCGATAGTTGTCCCTATCTTTAAAAAGGGTTCACGTCGTTTCTGTGACAACTATTGGAGGATAAGTCCACTTCCGATTGCGTCCAAACTGTTGGCTCCTGTCATACTTCTCAGGTTGTTCAAAACCCGAGAAAGATTGACTCGCGAGGAGCAGGCTGGTTTTCGTTCTGGTCGAGAATGTATTGATCATATTTTCACCCTCCGCTAAATGTTAGAACACCATCATACTTATCACAGGCCAACAATCGTAATGTTTCTTGACATCAGGGCTGCCTTCGATTCGTTGGACAGGACTGCTCTCTGTGATTGTCTATTGAAGAAGGGTGTGCCTGAGAAGTTTATTAACATCCTAAAAGTCCTATATACAAACACCTCAAGTAGAGTGAGGGCATACGACCACCTTTCTCCATTGTTCCATTCAAGCAGTGGGGTTAGACAGGGTTGCCCAATCTCACCATTCCTCTTCAACTTTGCCATCGATGACATTCTGGAAACAGCTCTGATGGACGTAAGTAATGGTGGTGTGGATCTGTTGCCTGGAGAAAGACATCTCGACCCTGAGTACGCGGATGATATGTCTTACTGTGCGAGAATGCCCAAGCCATGCAATCCGCACTTAATCAGTTGTCAATCAGTGTCCGTAGGTATGGTATGTGCTTTGCACCTTCGAAGTTCAAAGTACTTCCACAAGACTGGCAGGATTCTAATCCTGTACTCACTCTGGATGGTGAGCAGATAGAAGTAGTCGAGAAGTTCGTGTATCAAGGTAGCTACATAAGTGCTGGTGGTGGCATGAGTGATGAGATCGATCCACGTATAATGAAAGCCAGAGCGGCTTATATCAATCTGGGCCATCTTTGGCGCCTTCGTGATGTCAGTCTGGCTGTAAAAGGTCGGATCTACAACGCGTCGGTGAGAGAAGTTTTGCTCTATGCTTGTGAAACCTGGCCTCTCCGAGTTGAGGATGTTAGACGACTCTCTGTGCTTGGTCATCGTTGTCTCCGAAGGATCGCTGATATCCAGTGGCAGCGCCATCATAGTAATGCAGAGTTTCGGGCGCAGAGACGACAATCCAATTGGTGTTACCATCCTGAAACATCGACTTCTGTGCCTTGGACATGTTCTACGAATGTCGTCCCAAAGAATTCCTCGTCGTGCATTATTTGCCGACGCTGGGACTGGTTGGAAAAAGCGGAAAGGTGGTCAGTGTATGACATGGTGTCGTGGTATGAAAGAAAGCTGCAAAGGGCTGGCTTCTGTTGTTCCTTCTCGACTCCCAGGCAGGGGTCCGAGAGATGGTGCAACACAGCGGCTTAAGACGTTATCAGATATGGCCCAGAATAGAAGCCAGTGGCGATTCTGCTGTAACCTTGTACTTTCTTCATAAAAGGTGGTTGTACTTCCTCAACTGAAAGAACTCTTTCTGGTTGCACCTTTCCGTTTCCTCCATTATTATTATCGTTATTATGACACTACCATACACTAATCTGTGGTCATTATTGTTCTCTCTTTTTTTCTTCTCTCTTATACGCACCTTACATTCTTTTTCTATTCCCATTCTCATTGTTTTGCGTAGCGCATATATATCTGGTGACCCCTTGTACCAAAATTTATGTGTTCAAATAAATAAATACGCAAATTAATATGAAGGAGAATGAGAACTGATTGATCTATATGGCAAACAAAAGCTGACATATTGGCTTATGTAATCGTAACTCAAACACAACCAATAACCAACCGAAAACTGTCAATAATCAATGTATGTATCCTTAAAATTTTCGTACGATCCATCAGGCTTCACCCAGCTCATTCATGAACATCAATAAAAAAAGGATGAAGACCATTATTTACACGAAATCTATTTTACGTTTTATGAATCTCTTCAAGTAATTCGAGATCACAGTGACCTTAAATGAAGACAATTGTTGTGTACAAACACAAATATAGAGTGAAAAACAGATAAATATGCACAAATTCGTGTGTGTGTGAATACTAGTCTGTTTTACTAGTTTAGAGAAAATATATTAAAAATGAACTCATCGAACAAATGTTAATGAGGATAAGGGGGCTTTTATCATTCGTGAAGATAATATTGATTATGAATTGGGATAGATGAAAACAATTAAAGCAATAATAAATACAAACACGCAAAGAAATAGGTGAAATTAAGGTTGTTTCAATAGTATTTATGACTAGAGAAAATGTTACTTCATGTTATAAAATTAATCTGTCAAGCACCCATGATGTGTTGCAGAGCTATAT